GACACGACTTGCTTTGCACGCAGGTCTGATCTGAACCTCTTGTGTATGGACCAACTCTTGTTTGCACTCAACATGTTTAAAACAGCTTTTTTTCAACAATACTGTTGGAATGAGAAACTTTGAAAACAACTAATTGAAAAACCTTGTAAATTTTGTTTAAGTGAATTATTTTCAGATACATTTAAAAAACATTTTTAGCAATGTCTTGCATGGTTTGCAACCCAAGGAAGGCTATTTTTTCCAACATTTATATCTCAGTTTAACTTCTAATAATTTAAAGGTGCAATTTTAATCTATGCATGCTAAAGTTTGATAATTTCTCTTTAAACCAAAACTGACTCCAGGCAGTAAGAATATTAATAGTACCAGATAGTTCATCAATTTATCCTGCTTCTTGGGCCTCTCTCAGACGAGTTTGGTGCCATCTTTTCTTTTTTTTAATTATACACGTTCCTCTGCTGGGCTTGTATGTCCATTCCTTGTTTCCTTTTCTGCACTGCACTTTCCATTACTTCGTACCTCACCTTAATTAATAAAAACCAAAATAAACCCATTCACTATGTGCAGACTGTCAGTACTTATTTTATCGAAAGAACGGCCTTATGCTTTCACCCTTGGGTCTAAAATTAATGTACACTGTCTGTCACAATGACTCATCTCACCTCTGTTGCCACCTCTGTTGTGATCCGAAAGGCAGCATTTTTTTCCAACTTTATATATCACACCCTGTCCTTTGGCGCACATGATCATGTCCAACACTAGCACACACAGGGCAAACACGCCTAGGAATACTAAGCCAATCTGATAGGGGAGGACATCCACTAGAGAAGAAAAGAACAAAATAATTACTAGCCATATAATCATCACCTTTACTACAAAGGATTTTAAAAAGTTTATTTCTATTTTTTGGTGTCTGTAATATAAACTGTAGTATAAACAAAAGGGTTGCTCAGTACTGTAACCTCTATGATAAGCCCCAGAGGGGCATTTTTCCTCAGCCATTTTTAAGGGTTGGTTTATTATAGGGTGCAACCCATGCTAGTGCTCAAATAATTCATTTTTTTTTCCATAAGAGGTGTTACTGACAAGACAGCAATATTTTAGCGTTCTTTGTTAGCTGGTTATGGTTCTACATGTAAATGACTTGTTTTCTCAGTCAGTTGTCTTGCATCAAACCTTTGCATTTGTGCTGATAAACACTAAATGTGTTTGTGTTCACTTACCGGTAATGTCATTAATGATAAATGAATGTGTGATTTAACAAGGCAGATCATGGCAATTATAGGTACAGGCATAGCTAATATGAGAGAGGAGGGTCTTTATAAATTCTGGCTGTTAAAAATGGGGTTTCATGGAGAGCAGAGGTTACTAATGTTATTTTTGCTTTTAGTTATCTCAAACTACAACCTGTAGGAAAAACACTTTCCAACTTGCAAACTTAAGCACACAAACCTTTTTCATTACCACCTCCTAGTCCTTGGGCAGTTGGTCCAGTTTTGATGCATCTACAGTTGTCTTCATCTGGCACTTCTCCCTCATCGAATTTACAATTATTTATTGCTTCGCAACTACATCCACAGCCCGTATGATTAACCATATAGACGACTTTGTCTCCTTTGTTCTCAGAAGTAGTAGTAAGATCTGTTAATTCCAAGCTTATTTGTTGTGTTGAAGTTGCTACACATGGCTTTTGACTGGGCTGTGAGTTGCCACACGTTCCTTTGCAACGATGCAGTTCTATATGGTGTGGTTTGAAACCCTTTTGTTTTACCGGAATTATTGTTGGTCTTAATTTGCAGGGCTGATCTTGCAGTTTTAATGATGACACACATGCTGAAAAAAGAATATCCCCGAGTTAATATGAATCATTGTTTGAGAGACTCAGAGGGACAGAAAAATTAAGACCTTTAGAGAGGTCATGTTGTTTTTTGTAAACTCACACATTTGCTTCCACAGTATTATTTCATTTATAAGAACTGTGTAGTCGAGACCTGGATTTCAGGTTTTCAGGTTCCTGATTTCTAGGAAGCTTTGTAAATTGTATTGGATGGATTTGAAAACCCATTGTAATTTCTTAAGTCTTGTACAACTTTTCAAGTATTTTTAAGGGATTCTGTAATGCCAAATTGGACAATACTGTAAACTTCCGTTTATAAGATTCATTTTTTGCGCATTTGATCATATTTACATGTATTTTGCGCAATATAAATATTAAATTATTAATTATTATTATTAAGCCCTGGGCTTATACAACTTCATAAGGGGCTTTACAAGGGCTTATAAACGGGGGGGGGGGGGGGGAATGGACCAACTCTTGTTTGCACTCAACATGTTTAAAACAGCTTTTTTTCAACAATACTGTTGGAATGAGAAACTTTGAAAACAACTAATTGAAAAACCTTGTAAATTTTGTTTAAGTGAATTATTTTCAGAAACATTTTTAAAAAAAATTTTAGCAATGTCTTGCATGCTTTGCAACCCAAGGAAGGCTATTTTTTCCAACATTTATATCTCAGTTCAACTTACAGGGCTTTCTAATAATTTAAAGGTGCAATTTTAATCTATGCTAAAGTTTAATAATTTCTCTTTAAACCAAAACTGACTCCAGGCAGTAAGAATATTAATACCACCAGATAGTTCATCAATTTATCCTGCTTCTTGGGCCTCTCTCAGACGAGCTTGGTGCCATCTTTTCTTTTTTTTAATTATACACATTCCGGCTCTGCTGGGCTTGTATGTCCATTCCTTGTTTCCTTTTCTGTACTGCAATTTCCATTACTTTGTACCTCACCTGAATTAATAAAAACGCAAATTAACCTATTCACTATGTGCAGACTGTCAGTTATATTATTTTATCGAAAGAGCAATCTTATGGTTTCACCCTTGGGTCTAACATTAATGTACACTATCTGTCATAATGACTCATCTCACCTCTGTTGCCACCTCCGTTGTGATCCGAACGGCAGCATTTTTTTCCAACTTTATATATCACACCCTGTCCTTTGGCGCACATGATCATGTCCAACACTAGCACACACAGGGCAAACACGCCTAGGAATACTAAGCCAATCTGATAGGGAAGGACATCCACTAGAGAAGAAAAGAACAAAATAATTACTAGCCATAAAATCATCACCTTTACTACAAAGGATTTTAAAAAGTTTATTTCTATTTTTTGGTGTCTGTAATATACACTGTAGTATTAACAAAGGGGTTGCTCAGTACTGTCACCTCTATGATAAGCCCCAGAGGGGCATTTTTCCTCAGCCATTTTTAAGGGTTGGTTTATTATAGGGTGCAACCCATGATAGCAATAATTCATTTTTTTTTCCATAAGAGGTGTTACTGACAAGACAGCAATATTTTAGCCTTCTTTGTTAGCTGGTTATGGTTCTACATGTAAATTACTTGTTTTGTCAGTCAGTTGTCTTGCATCAAACCTTTGCATTATTTTGTGCTGATAAACACTAAATGTGTTTGTGTTCACTTACCGGTAATGCCATTAATGATAAATGAATGTGTGATGTAACAAGGCAGATCATGGCAATTATAGGTACAGGCATAGCTTATATGAGAGAGGAGGGTCTTTATAAATTTTGGCTACTCAAAATGGGGTTTCATGGAGAGCTGAGGTTACTAATGTTATATTTGCTTATAGTTATCTCAAACTACAACCTGTAGGAAAAACACTTTCCAACATGCAAACTTAAGCACACAAACCTTTTTCATTACCACCATGTTGTCTTATAGCAGTTGGTGCAGGTGGGATGCATCTACAGTTGTCTACATCTGGCATTTCTCCCTCATCGAATTTACAATGATTTATTGCTTCGCAATCACATCCACAACTCGTATGATTATCCATAAGGACGACTTTCTCTTGTTTGGTCTCAGAAGTAAGATCTGTTAAATCCAAGCTTATTTGTTGTTTTGTCTTTGGTACACATGGCTTTTGACTGGGCTGTGAGTTGCCACACGTTCCTTGGCAACGATGCAGTTCTATATGGTGTGGTTTGAAACCCTTTTCTTCTACCGGAATTATTGTTGGTCTTAATTTGCAGGGCTGATCTAGCAGTTTTAATGATGACACACATGCTGAAAAAAAGAATATCCCCGAGTTAATATGAATCATTGTTTGAGAGACTCAGAGGGACAGAAAAATTAAGACCTTTAGAGAGGTCATGTTGTTTTTTGTAAACTCACACATTTGCTTCCACAGTATTGTTTCACTCATGAGAACTGTGTAGTCGAGACCTGGATTTCAGGTTTTCAGGTTCCTGATTTCTAGGAAGCTTTGTAAATTGTATTGGATGGATTTGAAAACCCAATGTAATTTCTTAAGTCTTGTACAACTTTTCAAGTACTGTATTTTTAAGGGTTTCTGTAATGCCAAATTGGACAATACTGTAAGCTTCCATTTATAAGATTCATTTTTTGCGCATTTGATCATATTTACATGTTTGTGCATTTGATCATATTTACATGTATTTTGTGCAATATAAATATTAAATTATTAATTATTATTATTAAGCCCTGGGCTTATACAACTTCATAAGGGGTTTTACAAGGGCTTATAAACAGGGGGGGCGTTATAACCAGACTTAAAAGAAGTGTTTCAATACAAGCTACATAACAGTGCTGATCGAAATACTTTTTGAATTTGATCACTTTTTTAAGCTTCAAAATGTTGTAAAAAGTCAAATTCATTTTAATACAAGCTAGAGGAGGGCTTAAATTCAGGGGGGGGGGGCTTTAAACCAGGCCCCGGTTGTTCAAACGTTGGATAGCGCTATCCACCGGGTAAATCACTATCCAGCGGATAAGTATTACGGAAATCAATTACGCTATCCGCTGGATAGTGATTTATCCGCTGTATAGCGCTATCCGACGTTTGAACAACCGGGGCCAGATGTATTTTTGTTCTACAGATGGATGAGCCTATAAATGGGGGCGGGGGGGTCACAGGATATTCCAACAGATATGAGATTTGGAAACCCTAGGCACAAGCAAATATTTTGAAAGTGTATTCTTTTTTATGACGATATATAGAAAACTGGATTTATCTTTTGTCCATAACTATGCTACTTTTTGTCACTAATTTTATGCTTCACAACGGGGTTCCTGTGGCACATTGACAACCTCCTTTCCGAGAGAAAAGAGCTTTGTTGTGAAATTTTTCCTCTTTTTTCAAACTATTCCAGTGATTGTTGTACCTCTCATTTTTTTAAAGTTCAAGCTGTTGATTTCATTAACATATTGCTCAAAGAACAGATTTATCTCTGTACAGTTGACTTCCTCCCAGCGTTCTATAATGTGGTCCATAAAGAATACTATGACTACCGTAGTACATTATCTCATGGAGTTAATAAATGCATTCACAATTTGTTTTGAAATAATCTTTCCTCTTCTTAGGGAAACTTAATTAGGTCTTAACTTGGATGGAATCCTTCTAAAAATATAACTTGTCAATAACCTTTTAAGTGATTAAAAGCCGAGCTAATTCTTGTAGCTACGGAAACGTTCGTGACTATTACATTTTTTAATGCAAATACTCAAGATATCTTGTATACTAGCTGCAGCATACTACTCAAGCATGTGGAAAACGTGGTATTTTCAATTCTCATAAAATATTTATAACACTACGCCCACAAAGTAATTTTTGAGTGGGAATGAACAAACAAAGTTTTTAAAAAATTGATACCGTCAAAGTGAAACTGTTTTCTTTGATCAGACAGTTAATGTAGCCTTTCAACGCGTCAAAACATCGAAATTTACGGGGGTATTGTAAAATATTTACGGAAGCACACTTCTTTTCACGTTGAGTTGTAAATCATCAGAGGTTATAATCTGTCGGTCCGAAGGAACTAATGAAACGGTAACAAACACTGACTAAAGGTTAAGTCGTCAAGTCGTAAATTTGTTTGGCAAACGATGGTGGCAAATTCCACGCATTTTTTCCCATGTTTGTACATAAATGAATTATCATTTCGTAAGCAGAATATCAGAAAAGTTGCGAAAACCAGCCCACATAGCGACACCGTTTGCTTAGCTGACCTAAACAATCTAGAGCACGAGGTAATTTGTTCATTTATGTGGAACAATTGAATTTCGCGACAACTTTCACGCCAAAGCTTTTAAACTGAAATCAATATGTATACCAATCGCTTAATTTAATACGAGTACACGTCCCCAGAGTTAAAAACCATCAAAACTTGATTCAAACCTACTCCGTATGGAGTGCTTCGGTAGGAGAAGAGCTTATTAAAGACGAATGACTTCAAATTGTCGGACTTTACATGTAAACGTTGAACATGATTATGCAAATCGGTTTGGTCGAACCAAGAGTTAATTCTTATGGTGAGCGGGTTTCTCACGATCAAGCGATTTAAAGCATCGCCATCTTGATCTCGACATCTGGCGTTTGGCTAGTTGATTTCTGCTAGGTGGGTGTTTCATAGAAATCAAAGCAGAAAAAACCTCTCCACCCACCAAAACGATTGTTTCTAAAAAAAAATTGCCGTCTGCAGCCATTAAGAAATCACTTACTTTGTTGAAAAACAAGAGAGGCCATGATCACTGCAATTAGCACGGGTATCCTTGACATCGTTCTACAAATGCTGCATATGCCAAACTCCATGTTTCTTCTGTTTTTACGTATTACCGGGTAGATTTGGTTTCTTGACTCCTCCAAGATGCTGCAACAAGAATCGGAGACAACGAATGAATGAACCGCAACGCGATCAAGGAACTCATAGTATGTGTCATTTGCGTTGATTCCCTCCCTCCGGCCTAACAACCAATCAACGAAAAGCTTGATCAAGTAAACTTCCGCTTTATGGCATCACCCAGCCGCGACAAATTGAAACGCCGGAAATGGTTAGTTACTTTCGTATTTTCTAAATTTATTTGTCAATGTTTCAGTTATTCCCCTCAACTCTGGCCCTAACAGTTAGCTTTCCGTTCTAATGATTATGAGTGGCTTAAAATCCAACACCTTTCTCTATTGCAAATTTTAAAATGTTTTGGTTAAATCTCATGACCTTTGTTTGCCGCACCTGTGACCTCCCACAACAAAATTTTATCAGATTTATTGATCCATGTACGTGAAAACCCAGCCCATAAAGCTTACAAAACTCGATACAAAAGGATGAAAACTATCATTTGCCATTTTTGAAGATACTGTAAAGATCTAACTTTTGCGCATCCACTGTTTACGTCTTCGTGTTCACGCATGAATTCACCCGTCAATCAATCTAATCATTTTTTAATGGTTTCCTTTCTGATTCTGTTGAGATCACTTCGTGTGAATATACTAAAACAATTATTCACCTCAGGCTCAGTTAAAATTGTTGAATAATCCCCTCGACTTCGTCTCGGGGATTATTCAACAATATTAACTTCTCCTTCGGCGAATAATTGTTAATTATACAGCTGTATCTTTAGGGTGTGGGTCAGCCTTGTATGAAGATTCAGTTCTTCTCTGTTGGCCTTTTTTTGTTTATCCATGCTTCTTTTGACCAACTTTTTTATGCTTACAAAGTTGTTATGAATTATGAATGAATCATTCTGCTCCAGCCTTTTAACCAGGAGAACTATTCATCTTTTGTCCATAACTATGCTACTTTTGGTCACTAATTTTATGCTTCATAATGGGGTTCCTGTGGCACATTGACAACCTCCTTTCCGAGAGAAAAGCCAGGGTCGGCCAGGGTTTTTGGGTATACGGTATACAGGGGCTTTTTAAATCGGGTATACAGTATATTGCAGCTTAAATACGGGTATTCGGTATATCACTTTCTTTGAATTTCAGGTATAAAGTATTACCTGGGTATAATTTTGGGTATATTTGGATGAATTTTGGGTATTTTGGCGAATTTTTTTCGGGTATACTGGTATACCACTACCCCGGCCACCTTGAAAAGAGCTTTGTTGTGAAATTTTTCCTCTTTTTTCAAACTATTCCAGTACCTCTCGTTTTTTTTTAAGTTCAAGCTGTTGATTTCATTAACATATTGCTCAAAGAACAGGTTTATCTCTGTGCAGTTGACTTCCTCCCAGCGTTCTATAATGTGGTCCATAAAGAATACTATGACTACCGTAGTACATTATCTAATGGAGTTAATTAATGCATTCAAAATTTGTTTTGAAATAATCTTTCCTCTTCTTAGGGAAACTTAATTAGGTCTTAACTTGGATGGAATCCTTCTAAAAATATAACTTGTCAATAACCTTTTAAGTGATTAAAAGCCGAGCTAATTCTTGTAGCTACGGAAACGTTCGTGACCATTATTTTTTTAATGCAAATACTCAAGATATCTTGTATACTAGCTGCAGCATACTACTCAAGCATGTGGAAAACGTGGTATTTTCAATTCTCATAAAATATTTATAACACTACGCCCACAAAGTAATTTTGGAGTGGGAATGAACAAACAAAGTTTTTAAACTTAAAATTGATACCGTCAAAGTGAAACTGTTTTCTTTGATCAGACAGTTAATGTAGCCTTTCAACGCGTCAAAACATCGAAATTTACGGGGGTATTGTAAAATATTTACGGAAGCACACTTCTTTTCACGTTGAGTTGTAAATCATCAGAGGTTATAATCTGTCGGTCCGAAGGAACTAATGAAACGGTAACAAACATTGACTAAAGGTTAAGTCGTCAAGTCGTAAATTTGTTTGGCAAACGATGGTGGCAAATTCCACGCATTTTTTCCCATGTTTGTACATAAATGAATTATCATTTCGTAAGCAGAATATCAGAAAAGTTGCGAAAACCAGCCCACATAGCGACACCGTTTGCTTAGCTGACCTAAACAATCTAGAGCACGAGGTAATTTGTTCATTTATGTGGAACAATTGAATTTCGCGACAACTTTCACGCCAAAGCTTTTAAACTGAAATCAATATGTATACCAATCGCTTAATTTAATACGAGTACACGTCCCCAGAGTTTAAAACCATCAAAACTTGATTCAAACCTACTCCGTATGGAGTGCTTCGGTAGGAGAAGAGCTTATTAAAGACGAATGACTTCAAATTGTCGGACTTAACATGTAAACGTTGAACATGATTATGCAAATCGGTTTGGTCGAACCAAGAGTTAATTCTTATGGTGAGCGGGTTTCTCACGATCAAGCGATTTAAAGCATCGCCATCTTGATCTCGACCTCTGGCGTTTGGCTAGTTGATTTCTGCTAGGCCGGTGTTTCATAGAAATCAAAGCAGAAAAAATCTCTCCACCCACCAAAACGATTGTTTCTAAAAAAAATTGCCGTCTGCAGCCATTAAGAAATCACTTACTTTGTTGAAAAACAAGAGAGGCCATGATCACTGCAATTAGCACGGATATCCTCGACATCGTTCTACAAATGCTGCACATGCCAGACTCCATGTTTCTTCTGTTTTTACGTATTACCGGGTAGATTTGGTTTCTTGACTCCTCCAAGATGCTGCAACAAGAATCGGAGACAACGAATGAATGAACTGCAACGCGATCAAGGAACTCATAGTATGTGTGATTTACGTTGATTCCCTCCCTCTGGCCTAACAACCAATCAACGAAAAGCTTGATCAAGCAAACTTCCGCTTTATGGCATCACCCAGCCGCGACAAATTGAAACGCCGGAAATGGTGAGTTACTTTCGTATTTGCTAAGTTTATTTGTTAATTTTTCGGTTATTCCCCTTAACTCTGGCCCTAACAGTTAGCTTTCCGTTCTAATGATTATGAGTGGCTTAAAATCCAACACCTTTCTCTGTTGCAAATTTTAAAATGTTTTGGTTAAATCCCATGACCTTTGTTTGCCGCACCTGTGACCTCCCACAACAAAATTTTATCAGATTTATTGATCCATGTACGTGAAAACCCAGCCCATTCATTTTATTTTCCTGTATTGATTTACTCGTATTGCTTACACCGGGGCCAGGAAGTTTTTTAACAAATTAAGAGGTTATCGATCTAGTTTACGGTGGTCTATTTTCCCCAAATAAAGCTACTTATCTTGGTCTTAGTTCATCGTCTTACTTCCTTTTGTAAATAAGTAAAGTGGCCATATCTCCATTTTGAAGACGTCGCTAAGTTTTTTACATCCTTTTTGCAGTGTACTAAATTGCAGCAGTGTAAACGAAGACAACACGCGGAGTTCACAAAACCAAGCCCCGTTTTGATCAGTAACCTTAACTTATTATTTCTCGACTGGAAGTTTGCAAAAAATTAACGTTTAATCTAAAAAAAGGAGAGAGCTCCGATACACAAGACCGAACGCTGCGAAAATCTATTGTGAAAATTTTATGGAAGGCTGGCCGTAATAAGTGCCTTCCTCTATTTATAATGAAGTGTGTGTTGGCTCGCGTGACTGACTGGTATTAGTATTACAAGTGTTTTTCGAGCAAAAATAATCTATACTTTTCTTTAGCGAACAAATAGGACTCGGCGGAAAAGCATGACACCTGGAGATATAAGATAACTAATTCCGTCGACTTCCTGTCTTATAATCATTAATGGTGTCTCAGTCTGCATCCTTGCGTTGTTCAGCTGTGGTGAAAAGCACGTGTCTACTGGTAAACTACGATCAAACCTTCCTTCTTCCTTGTTTTCTCGGAAAACTACTTAAGCTTTTCTTTTTCCTTCCTAATCCCTTTCAATTTTATATTCATTTTACTGTCCTCCGCTATTGTAGAATTCCTTCATTAAATTTTTTTAACGAAGTTTTTTTAAGAGATATTGGTTTTGTAACAGAGGAAACAATCGAGAAACAGTAACTTGTGATTGCTTTCCCTCAGTATTTTAGCACTTCAGGACAAATAACAATTGTGTCCTGTTGCGAACGCAGTTTCCGCTGAAATTGTCCAACCTTTTTTCTTTCTTTTGAAGATCTCAATTTTTAAACAAAAATATGTTTTTCATAAAACTGAAAATTAACAACCCCCAGTGATGTGGGGTGTAATTACGTGGAAAGCAATTTGTCTCCCTGCACGAAGCGTTACGTGACGTCATAGCATGCCAAGTCGTCAATTCGGAGACCGGAATAATGAGGGAATATTTCATCATATTTTGTCCATCGCGCTGCAAACACGTGCTTTTTGAATTGCGATCAGTTCAATATTATAGAAGGTGGCATTTTATCATGACAGTTTGACGCAAAAAATGTACTTAGATTTAAACCACGAGGCACTTGTTCAACGAGTGGGCGATTAGGTGATAAATAATTGCAAATTCTATATATATTTTACATTACATAAAAAAAAACTAACTATTGAATAGTACAGACATGCATGGTTAACCATTCAAATCAAAGAGCAGTTTTCATGGCTATAAAAGGCAATGGGTAAACAAATTAAGTTTTTATGATGCGTCAGTTTTAGAATGTTTTTCTAAACGTAAGTGAACTCTAAGGTTACCATTTTTATTCACCTCAGAATGCAAAATTATTTTTCAAAACGCTGCTAATTTGTTATTTCCGAATCAATCATTTTGGAAAAGTTATTAAGCTTTTCTAACAAGGATCATAATCTTCCAAAATTGGACTTGAAAACCAGATGAAATTAACACCGACAGTCAAAAATATCGCTTTAACATATCGTGTTAAAAGAAGGTATCTGTATTGTACCCACTTTTTGCTTTTATCGGCAGCAAAGATTACTCTTTCTTACCTTGTGAAAAGAATTTCTTCTTATATCCTGATCAACGCGGTTGTGTTTTGCTAACAGCTTTCCTTGTGGTAAACAAAGCTCTATCGACTTTCACTGGTATATTATAAACGAGTGTTTTCGTTCTAATAATAAGTTATCGATATCTTTCACGCAAGTTTTATGTCATTCGGTCGGGAGATGGAATTCTATTTATGTCCGTTGTTCCGTTACGCCTAAATACTTTAGGCTTAAATTAGAACGCATGTTGACAAAGTTAGGAGTGGTATTAACAAACCTTTTGGTCTCGGAACTCTAGAAAAGACGACAGTAAAACAAAAATGTAATCTGTTACATTCCAAAATCTGGTACACTAACGCGTTACTTCTTAGTAATCAATACTCAACATTTATTATTCAAATATCGATTAAAATGACTCTTTACCTTAATCATCATTCAATGCTGTCAGTTTAACATGATTAAAATTACACCAAAAATTCAGTTCTCATTTTGATCAGTGTCTTTTTGACAAATAAATTTTCATTAGAGTCTACAGTGCCTGTTTCGCTTTAGTGTAATCCCTGGTGATTTCGCGATAACTATACGGCTAATGAGCTAATCCCGGCTATCTTTTTTTTATGTTCAAGATACCGTGGAAGCAAGACAAAAAAGATTGCCGGCAATTTTTAGCTACAATTGTTCAGCCATTCAATTCCTTCTGGTTTTTTCTTTATCCATTTTTGGGGAAATTTCTGTCTTAGATTTGCTTTGTTTTACTGTGTACCTTAGCTTGATTTTTTTTCTGTGTACATTAGAGACGGTAAAAGAATAACAATCCAGAAACCTCATGCGCAAATCAAAACCACCCACACATTTAAACCGCGTGGGCTTATTTTCGTGTCGAACAAACTCAAATTAGATCCAGAGGTGTTCATATAGCTTCCGTCTCCCCGGAACAACACGCAGCAACAGACGTCAGCAAAAATGTCTCCGATTCCGAGTCGACGAAAAATTCCGAAACGACGTCGAGCTTTTCATAAATGGTGTAAAGTCTAGGTGATGCATCTTGGGAAGATTCCAACAATTTCCGAACGAGTCGACGACTCTTGGTTCAACAAATAAGGTAATTGTCGGAATTCAACAAGGTTAATTGTTTGGAAACTAGAGGTATTTCTCTACATTTCCGTTAAGGAAACGCTTGAACAAAAATAATTTATGTGTGCCTGGAATGATTGTATAACTTCGCGTATTATTGATCTTATAAACACACACCCCACAAACACACATTCCCTGAAAAATGCTCTTTTTGCGCATGATTTGCTATAAACGGCACTCCCTAATAAGGTTAAAGCCGCAAAGTAATAATTAAATCCCTACCGCTCAATGATCCAAGGGGAAAACAGGAAACATTTTTTGGGGGAGGAATCAAGGTCATTCCAATCTATATGTATAGTGTATTGGTGCATTTTTAGCATGATCCCTGAGCACATTGTACACCTGATGAAAAATAGAGCTCTTAAACTACAAAAGCACAATGATAAACATTCCTATGCACAGGACCAAAGGTTTGCTGGACTGATTACATTATTTTGTATAAGAAAAGAGCAAGAGAGTGATGAAGCAGTTTGCTCAGCAGAGAAGAAAAAGAAACAAACAGTTCAGAGTCCATTATAGATGGCTTCGATCTTCATTCTTTTACGTGCGTCTGAAAGAAAGACTCCTTGCTAGTCAGTTAATCCCTTGTCACACTCGTTGGCTTTCAAAAACTCCACAAACTGGCCAACAAATTTGATCTCATGAATTTAGTCATTTTTCTTCAATATCCCTCACGAAATCTTCACGGCAATTATCTATTTTTTGGCAATAACGAAGTATATTTTGCATGACTATACTAAGTTGTTAAGAAGCGTTTGCCAAAAACGGAACCAGAATAACATGAATTGAGAATTTTTGCATTACGTTTTTGTATTAGTCTTTGAGTCAAGAACCCAGTGTAGAAATACCCCTGGATGAAGATGCCATACATATTTCCATGCGAATCTCCGAAGCCAAGCCAATACTAAATTTTGGATGATGGTAGCTGGATATTTGATAGGCAGCAAATTTTTCTGCTCTCTACATGTACTAAAATCCAGGTGTGGAGCACGCGCGGAGGCAGTGTTCGGCAGTGCTGGGCCGAACCGAGTTCATATCACGCACTAAACGTGCTCTCCCGGCCGCCCACGCTCGCATAAGTGTCGTAAAGTGGCCCTCTGGTCTGCTCTCTGCATGTCTGTTGAGCTTTTGTAAATTATGTCATGTTTACATTTTCGACTTAAATTATTTGTTTTTTTCATGTTTGATCCGTCCCACATGTCTTTCTGCTATATACTACTGCCTAGGGTATTTAAAATGTCATTTATTTCGTTGTTTATTTATTTTTATGGCATATCCAAGCAGCATTTTGAACGGTTCCAGGCAGGAAAGTCGTATAAAAGGGGCGATTTTTCTCAGTATTGTTTGAGGTGTTCGTATATAGCACTTTGTGTCAGCCGTAAAGTAATAAATACGAATTCTGGGAGGTGACGCTTCATCAGACAGAAAATAATATTCTACTGTATCCGCAGTACATAGTATCAAAAAACGACCCGAAAAGTTTATTTTTAGCTACTTCACCATAACAAGGCAAAAAAGAGTTGACATTTATACATCATGATTATCTTCATTTAAAATCTGTTGAAATCTCGTTTAA